TCGACTAATCGCAAAAATAATCGGTGACTAGTCGACTATCAAAATAATCGTTTGTGGAAGCCCTATTCATGACCACAGACTATCAGACCATTCGTGAAAACAACTGCAATAATAAACAAAGTGGAGCAGATCATGTAGTTTTGCATTTGATGCCATAACCTCCTGATCATTCTTCAGTTTTTAACCACAACCACAGCTGAACTGTGAACACCACAACTTTGGAATATAAACTACTTCTTGTTGAGTTGTTTCTGCATGAAGAACGCAGAACGCTACACAAGCTCAAGATTATGGACTATGCTAAATTATAAAAATGTGTTTAAGGTCATCAGTGGTCATTAGTAACTGCAGTCTTTGGGATCATCATAAATTTATTTTTTCTTCAGGGCAGCTGGGATAAGTGATGGATGAAGAATTTTACTGCAGTCATGGAAATCCTAACCAGTGAGGAGTAGAGCAGGTACACAGCACGTAAATATAAGAAAATAAGATGCTTTTATTTTTTTATACATTATTGGACAGATTTACTAAGTGAGGCCAATTATTATAATGTCATAATGCACTATAATCTATATAGAAACATGAAGCCAGTTCTGCCAAGAAAATGTCAATTAGTGGCTCAAAAATCCCAAAGAGGGAGGATGAGGAGCGCACTCAGGCCTGCAAACAAAAAATAATTCGGTGTAAGGTGAAGTTTCACGCAAGTGTTTCTCTTTGAAAATGGTGAAAAGAGACGAGGATGAAAGAAAATCAATATTGTTTTTCTATAAGAAGTCTTTTGATAGAAAGAGCCAAACACTGTGCAAAGGGTTCTGAGGATTAGGACTCAGACTGTTAGAAACCTGAAGTCTGAGAGGAACAGCTGACAAACACAACACAAAACATTATATTCTGTCAGATATATCAAATCTAATCTTCTGTTGTCACTTTCAGGCTGTGTATTCATGCACTCAACAAACATTTGCATTAACAGAAACATACATAGCTCTGGTACTCACAGGGAAAGGCTCTGCACCCTCTTGGATAACGAAGCCTTCTATGAGATGGGTGAGGATGTGAGACTTGACTATGGCTTGGGCAGGTTTACTCTCTCCATTGTTTTGGGTGCTGTTAGTGTTCCCATTCCCAGAGGTCATGACTGGAGCACAGCGCACCCCTCACCTGTCAACAGGAGCAACAAGACAAACTCAACAAGTGCTCGCCATGTGGACGAAGTCTCACATTATTTGGAAGAGACAATTAAATGTTACTCAGTGTCTCTGGCAAAGCTCACCACATTGATATAACACTGATTATGAAAAGTGTTAGTTTTAATCTTTCAGCAACACTTTTGGATCCTGAATCCGTTACAGCAGCTGTTTTTTCAGTCATGTAAACTTTGGTTCTTTTGCCAACTTCTTGCACTAATCTGAGTTTTAACTCATGCTGATATAAAGACGGAATCCACTGTGTCCCGGTCCGATTTGAGCGTATATATGTGCCTTAACTGAATCTGAATTTCCAGATTTAAGAATGGCGTGAGCCACTCTTACAAAGGGGGACCTCAGTTAGGCTAACGTAGGGTTGTACGTGCGCGGTTGCTGTGGAAACCCACGATTTAATAAGCACCAAAAAATGAGAGAATAAACCGTGGAATCACGCTGCCATATATATGCATGTGATCTGGATAACGTTAACACTATAGGCTGTGTGACTTTGAACAGTAAGAGCGCAGAGTGTTAGTAATCCAAACTCGCTAACGAAAACAAAACAAGGAGTTTGGCTCAAATTTAAATCGCACACATTACATTTAAGCGAAAGACCCGTGTGAACCAAATATACCTGTAAATACTATTATATATATA